GCTTCGGTAGTGGTCTCGAGTGGCCTCGATTAAGATTACATACATACAAGCTCCAACGAAGAAGTGAGTATTGGCACCGCGTCACTGGGAAACGGAGTCTCAATCGAGTAAACAGATGAAGATTGAGTGGCCAGGAGACTGGCTTTCGCAGTGTTATCGTCAAGTAAACCGACATGCGCCAAGGAATGCAGAGCAGGAATACCACTGCCTGTTCTGGTACTTCTCTTCAGGCAAGAGAAGAGTGCCTTGGGAGTTGTCTTGGATTGTACGGCCAAACCGAGCTCGTACTTTTGCCGTTTCTCACGTTTTTCAAGTTTCAGATATTCCTTGCCACTTTATATTCCGAATAGTCAGACACGGTTTGCGTGAGGTCGAATAGGACATACAGTTTCCGTCTTTTGTTCGTAAGGCCCCTCAATTCTCGATCAATCCATGGAGGACAACATATATATATACATATATATACATATATATATATATATATATAAAGTTAAGTTGCCCGCGTAAGTTTGTAAGTTTAATTGAATGTCTGCACAGTGGTATGCGAGCGAGGGTGCAGCTGAGTGGAGAGACCTCGGATGACTTTGCAGTTGTCTCTGGTGTGAAGCAAGGCTGTGTCTTAACTCCTGACCTGTAATATCTATCTTCATGCAATGATATATTGTGCTTTTGATGCCGCTTGTGCTTACGGTGTTCGTGTGGAGCACCGTATTGATGGTGGGTTGCTGAACATCCGTCGTTTCGGTGCGAGAACTCTAGTCTGTGAGACAACTATCCGTATGTTACTGTTTGCTGATGACTGTGCGTTGTTTTCACAAAGCGCGGATGAGTTGCAGCACGTGACTAGTGCTCTGGCTTCGACAGCGGCAAAATTTGGGCTCACCATCAACGCAAGCAAAACTGTCTGTCGCTTTCAGCCTTCACCGGAGGCGCAATCTTCAATATTGCCGCGAATCAGCATTGGTGCTGAAGTATTAGGAACCACCTCCCGCTTTTGCTACCTTGGGAGTGTGATGTCGACTGAGAAGCAGCTGCACAGTGAGCTGTGTATCCGCGTGTCGAAGGCAGCGGCGGCATTCGGGAAGCTTGAGTACCGAGTGTGGAATAACCATCAGCTTACCATTGGCACGAAGCTGATGGTGTACAAATTCATGGTGCTGTCCGTTCTTCTATACGGCAGTGAAACGTGGACGATGTACCGGAGGGATGTGCGATATCTCGAGCGGTTCCAACAGCACTGTTTGCGACGAATTTTGCGCATCACTTGGGGAGACAGAGTTGCAGACACGGTGTTGCGTCGAAGTGGAATGTATGCAGTGGAGTGCATACTTTTGCTGAGAAACATGAGGTGGCTCGGTCATGTGTGGCGTATGGATTCAACGCGGATACCGAAACAACTCTTATACAGTCAGCTGAGTATTGGGAGGCGGCATGTGGGGAAACCAAAGTTACGTTACCAGGACATGATAAAATTGAGCCTCTCACGTTCTATTATTGATTGCAGGTCATGGGAATCGAAGGCGGTTGATCGGCGTGCATGGCGCGATCTGATCACGAAGGCAGTTGCCGAAGTGCGGAAAGAAGACCTCATACATGCAGAGAAGAAGCGGCAATTGCGGAAGCGGCAAGCACCGATGGGTTGTACTTCATCGACATCAAGCGCATGGTGCTGTAGAACATGCGGTCGCGAGTGCCTGAGTCAGGCAGACCTAGTGAGCCATGAGCGAGGCCACTCGGGACCACTACCGAAGCGACGACGGGTCCTGCATAGAACGTAGGCAGAACCAGCGCAGCGTTTGTAGGTACGCTGCATTCCATTTAATAACCGCGTGCTTGCATGCTAAGTCTCTTTATTTCAGGTGGTGGGTTTTCAACTTTGCCTTAATGTTTTTTTCTCATTTAAATTTCTACCTGTACTCTATTCCATTAACTTGCACACCTCGCTTAAGCCAATTGCATTCGATTTCCATAACATTTTTGTGTTCGTGGCATTTCCGTAAAGTATACTTGCTGACCTCGTGAACTTATCTAGGATTCGTTTGTAAACAACTTATTTCATATGCCCATTAACTTAAGGTTTATGTCCCCGTTTCCTTATGCATTAATCGATTTCTTTTCTTTGTTCTCTTTCTCTCAAGTGATTGGCTGTTGCTTGATATCCCCCGTGTGGCTGCGCTTGATGTGCATGTTGACAAGGTGCCTACCTGTCTGTTACCCACTACCTCGTCCATACTGGCTCCAGGAGACAGTTAGTCGTTGCTGGAGGGGACGGGGTGCACGGTCCTCGTGGCTGTGTTAGGATCAAAGAGTGGTTCCATGCACTCAGTGTGGAGCGGACTACGGTCCAGCCACCGCCTTGTGTGCGCTTGTTACCTAAATACAGCGTGCTTGTGTTTGCCTGTGAAGGAGTGTGGGCCGGCTCCGTTGGTGAAACGTGGCTCCCATGCGCATGCCTCCCGGTCTTATTGCTTCGGGTTTACATTGGATATGGGGTGTGGTTGGAGCTGTGGGTGGTGCAGCGCAAGCCACCCATGGTCCCTCGGTAGGCGCAGGCGTCCTGTGGCTGGCCACAGTGACAGGCAAATCCGAAACCGGATGCCGCGAACCATATATATATATATATATATATATATATATATATATATATATATATATATATATATATATATATATATGGTGGATCGGCTCACTTAATTTGGTAGCTATGTCACCACTGGTAGTCACATCACTAGAGGCTACTTCGCGTATTAGCAAGAGCCGTGTGACTTTTCAGGTTCAACCATCTATGAAGACGGCAGCGTATCAGCTTGTCAGTGAAAGGTAGGGTGCATGACCCTGCGATAAGTCCAGTGTTACTGTATGGATTAGAGACCTGGCCAGTTCGCAATGAAGACATTAAACGTTTAGCCGTGTTTGACCAACGATGCTAGCGAAGTATTGCTCACATCTTTTGGGAACATCGGGTGAACAATGCTAAGTTCACCAGTTGGTTTTTGGCAAGGAACTTTCTGGTGCCTCTCCCGAGTGTTGGTTAACTCTCAGTCGCTTGCGTTAGCTAGGCCATGTTCTCCGTATGCCCGTTGATCGGCTACATCGGCGTGAATTATATGCCGTTTCCAGTCCATGACGTGACATCGAGGCATGGAAAAATTGTCTGACTTGATCAGGTTGGCGCGTGCGTGTTCCTGGATAGGGGCCTCGAAACGGTCCATACGAATGGTTGGAGACCATGTCAGACATGGCGCAGTCACGAAGTCAGTGGTCTTTTTAAATCCGGTCTCTTTCGTCTGGTTGCCAATTTTTGTTCCATTATGTTAAGTTTCACGTATTTCCTTCCTGCTTTTATTTTCAGTACATTCTATCCGCACCCAAACTCAATGTCCAACCGTAGTTTTTAATGTTATTCTTGCGATGAGTCAACTGGGTCCACAGCACTTCGGTGCTCGGAACATAGTTGTTTAACTGAACTGAAGTAACGTTGAACTACCGGACGCCAAGTCAACAGTTGCTGGAGTATCTTGTTACTAGTAGGCCAATTCAAGACGTCGAAGGTATGCAGTGCAGACTGAGGCAAGGCGATCAGCGGCGCCTACATCTCATGGAACATCAGTTCAGATTTAAGGAAGGACGAAGTAGACCATCAATATGGCAAGAATCTACTATGAACTAGAAAGTCCAAGCAAGTGAATAAACCAATGGTTGTATAATACCTAGTAAATGTTTGCAAAATAAGAGATGATATGCCAGCGTAAGGCTGCCGACTTGCTATGGTTACAAAAATATGAAAAAAATCGGTTGAAACTGAACACGGTTGAGAATATTACTGGCCTGATAAGTGGATTAAGTTTATGAGTAGCAGGGGTTGTTGTTATGGAGAAAATCCGTCGCAACCAAACTCAGACAGCCAGTACACCGCTGGAAAATTACCAGATGGCCATTTCATCTTATTGGGACTACCTGGTAGTGCGCACTCGCCAGATCACGATGGATCCGAACCTATAATTTTACTCTTACCAACCAAAGACCTAAGATATAGCTGTACTTTGTCTCTGAGACGAACGCTTTTTTGTTTGCAAATGTTTTGCCATCAGATTAGGCAACATCGTCCTTCACGGAAGTTGGACATGTGGTGCTACTCAGTCTGGTGATTGTAGGTCTGCAAACAGAACGCTCAGCTTCGAACAATCTAATACTCACATTTCGCTGGTGCAATTGCTGGCTAATGCCGTGCTTGGAATACAAAAGTTGTACAAGATAGGATGAGCGTAGCTGAGGTGGTATTTTAGACAGAAGTAGGACAACGACCCCATGGACCGGAATATGATTCAGAGGCTAATTGCTTTTACGGATTAAGGTGTTATCTCAAGTGGGTCGGTACTACTCAAATACTCAAGCGGTTACCGATTCATGACATTCACGTGCATGAATACATCGGTGGTGTCGACCTTTATTGCTCAGCCTAAATTCGTCTGCCGAAGCTGCTTAGATTAGTTGGCTAAACGCAGACCGATGCGCCAGCCATTCTATTTACGCAGCATGAAAAGAAAAATGATTGCAACTGATTTCAGAATAAATTCAAGCCAAACAATGCTGCGCACCTACGGTGATGTGTGAATTAAACGGAGGAAAAAAACTTGAAGTGAAGCAATTGAACAACCTGAGCAGGTTCTAGCTCGCTACTCATCGTAATAGAGGTCAAGCTGCAGGGGTAACGTATAATTCTGGTGAGAATGCCCGTTTAAAAAATGGCTCTGCTGACTAGGTCTTAGACAGAGGTTCCCCATTCTGTTCAGCGTAAAACATCTCTACTAAACCTGATCCCAAGGACTAATAATGAATGGAAAATGAGCTGGAAGAAAGGAGTGAGTAAAGCGCTAAAGAGAACAAGTTGCAATCAAGATGAGTAAAGGAGACTGAAAATGACATTGATTTATCCAAGTAAAACAGTAAAGTTCAAGGATCATTCCGAAAATTGCAGTATCAAACAAAATGAAACTCACAACAAAAAGTTCATATCGGCATCCGAAAAGCCGGAAAGGGACAAACAGCGCCAACAATGGTACCTATAAAAATCGAAGGGCTCTTAGAAAACAAATCTCATATATGCGCGAACGTTTAGTCAGCGCAAAAATACACATTATGATTGTATGGCAGCGAAACGACAGCACAATGTACGAGCAAAGGATTGATTATATCCAATGTAGGTCTTGGAGTCCTCACAGTCTGCTTGGATTGCGATAGGAAATCTGTTGGGACCTAAGTTTACATCGAAGTAGACCGCGATCAATAGGATCACTAAGAACGTATCCGGAGTGGAGGATAGTCGGTATGCTCTCCCACAACATAGCAATTCAAAGCCGGCATCGCTTGCGTTTGGGCTCATGAGGCAGAGATGACCGTAAAAGAGAGTGAAACTCGTGACATAATAGTTGCAGACTGAGGCATTGATCACCAGGCTACTGAGATTCGTGAGCGAAGCTCGGTACATCAGTTAGAAATTTAATGTAAGGCTTTGTAGTAGGAACTGTGTTTTATTGCGACACGGAAGTTCTGTTCAGATTTTGTTCTGTTCTCCGAGCTGAACAGTTTCGTTTCAAACGTTCCATCACCAATCGTGGTGACTTCCTCAGTGCGTTATAAGCAAACTGAGTTGTTTGGTCGATTCTTACCGACGAGCGAGTGACATTTGAACTTGCTCACTTCGATTCAGGTCCCGTGACCATTGCTAGTTCTCAGTTTGTTCATAACGCACTGAAGAAGTCACCATGATTGGTGATGAAACGTTTGCAACGAAACTATTCAGCTCGGAGAACAGAACAAAATCTGAACAGACCACCCGAGCTACAGGTATTCCGATTTATTACACGGAAGTTCTGTCTACTTAAAAGTAAACCGAGGTTCCAACGGAGATTGTGTGTCACAATCCAAGCGCGCGGCTGGCACTCCAAAGCTATACATTGAATTGATGCTCACGGATCTGTGGCCTAGCAATCAAGGCGACAGCTTTCAACTATTGTCACAGGTTCCACTCCTATCTGCAGTTAACGCTATATGATGAGTCCAAACAATAAGGAAGTTGGTCGTATTTGTGATCCTGCGGAAGTGAGCCGACCACTGGTTGATTGGGCAGAGATGTGCACTGCTGAGCGCGTCGCCAAACTTTGAATCAAATAGTGTCTTCCTTGTGGAGGTAACCGTGCATAAATCTCATCTCTTCGCAAGCGAAAGGAATAAGCAGCATTAAGAAACCAGGAGAAACGTCACAGCATGGGGAATATGGACTGGTCACTTAGTTCCTCACACCACGAGAAATTGCAGAGCGTTGTGTCAAAAACAATGTGACTGGCTATGTGGTCACTGAGTACCCAGTTCTACTACCATAAGTACATAATAGAAGGCGGATGAACTACTCCGATTGTAACCGGCTTCTAAGTGGACAGAACCCCATGAAAGCGGATGAGCCAAAGGGTTGTCTACGGCATTCGGGCCTGGCGACGAGTTCAGTAGTCCAGGAAACTTTTCCTGGCCGCCGAGCTACTATACTCGAGCTCCTTGGGTGCACTGAGTAGTTCGTTTCTACTAAAAAGCCGCATTATCCTTGCTTATATAGCCGGCTCCCAACGGTTGGCGATATACGTCAAACGCCACGCTGACTTGCGGGCCAGGTCAATATGGCTCAAGACTCCGGGTGGCGTCCCCTAAGCCAACTGTCTTACTCGGCCTGGGCAACCAGGCAGTACCTGCTCACAAAACTTGTGGACCGATGTTTCAATGTTTCTCGCCTCGTTCCTTGACCTCTGAAACCGCTAACATTGGCCAAATTGCTAACGACTGTATCTGATAAACCGCGCTTCTCACCACCGCCTAAGTACTGTGCTCCACGTTTGTTCAACCTCTCCATTTTTAGTAACCCTCCGCTCCCGAATCCACAATACTATGCCGCAATGGGTGAGAGTTTTCACCGCATTCATCATGAGTTAAGGTCCGAGAGCATGCCGCCCAATTGCATCAAAAAGTCTGCTAATGTCCCGTTTCAAATTCAAGCAGACTGCCTTCAAGGTTCGGACGTTGATGCAGATCGGATCACAGAGAATCCTTGATTGCCCTATAGAAACTACTACAGTTGACATTTGTTGTTCCACCGAAACACTTTTACAGGATCTCAGTAAGACAACACAGCTGAGTTCACCGTTTGTGAGTTGCGCTGGAAGTTGCACATTGCACCATTCTGGATACCCAGATGCCGAAGACGCTGACTGCTAGCGTCAGCATGCATTTAGGACGCGTGATGACGCGGCCCTACTAGACTGGATCCTTGTTAACAGCCAGCTGTGCGTAATTTGACTGAAAATCTCAATATGATCTTCCAGTTGCGGAGCCAGCAGACGTGTTTGTTTGTTGTAGTGGCGTATGCTCCCAAAGACTGCAGTCCTCGCTCAGCTAAAGAAGAATCAATTATCCGACCTTATGCGAAGAAAACGCCGCACGGACATTAAGTTTGCAATGATTCGGAATGCCCTTAGCTCGGGTTGGCAGGTAACGTTTTGATTCGTTTTCCGAGCTGAGTAATTTAATGGCAAACGTTTGACCATTTCCCTCAGTGGTATCTTTAGTGCACTGCTGCGTAGAAGAAAATCTCAAGGTGTCGTCGGGACGTAGCGTTTGAAATTGGCCTAATCGATCTGTGTCCTTTGACCTCCGTTTGTTCGATTTTCGTCCGCCCAGTTTCACACCTCAGATGTAGGTACACAGGATCGAGGTCAATGCGGAGGTTCACTGAATTCCCCGTAGAGAACCATGCCTCAAGGAATTCTCTTCCTTGTCCCTCCGTGCGCCAGAATTTCTGCGTTGTCCCAGTTAACGTTGTGTCCTTCCTCATCGAAATGCGCTGAGATCTGTGACGATGCATAATGGTATCGGCATGCAGGTTTGAGCACTTGTATTTTTGTGGATAGTTTTCTCCCCGTTTGACCCACATAATCTTTCTCACAGTTCTCGCACTGCATCCTGTAGACGACATTTTGGCGTTCGTGTACCTCCAGTATTCCTTTAAATCTAGACAAGGTTCCCTTCAAGGTTATGTAACTTGAGGTGTCTGGCTGTCTTTTTGGTATGTTTTGATGTACGGCAAGGCGATGCGTTTCGCCGTTGTTGGTGCCGGTGCGGTAGTTGTACTCCTTCGGTTTAGGTGTCTTCGAATGAAACTGCGTGGGTAGCCGTTGCGAGTGAAATACATAAACAGATGTTCCTCTTCCTTTCGTTTCGCCTCCGCAGTACTGCAATGCGATTCTATCCTATGAAACAGGGTCCGTATACAACTTATTTTGTGACACAAGGTGATTGCTGTTGAGGTTCAGGATTTGGTCGGTGTGTGCTACTTTTCTGTAAACTGATGTGTGCAATTCGCCTTCCACTGTTATGGTAATCAGCATGTCCAAAAAGGGAAGTTAGTTTCCCACCTCTTCTTCTATGGTGAAACGAATACCATCCATTGCATTGTTAAGCTGGTATTGTGCGGTCTGTAGCTGGCTGCGTTTGAGAATCACAAAGGTATCGTCAACAAATCGCAACCATAATTTCGGACTAATGACTGGGAGTATAGTATTCTCTTCCAACCTCTGCATGACGACCTCTGCAATAAGTCCAGATATGGGGGATCCCATTGGAGCTCCTCTAAGTTGTTCGTAAAACGGCCCGTTGAATTTGAAGTAGGTAGTGAGACACAAACCGAGGAGAATACATATACTTTTAGTTGTTAGATTCCCAGTCGTTTGTCCTCCACTGTCCAGATATTCTTTGATATTTTCTATCATCTGTAAGTGGATAGAGGTGAAAAGTGCGGTGACGTCAAAGGATACCATCACTTCTTCATAGTTTATCCGCATGCAGTTGAGTTTTTCCAAAAACTGATGAGTATTACTGATCGAGTTTGCGGAAGCCCTAAAGGCGCAGATCAGTAGACTTGAAGCTGATGAACGTGAACACAGGTATCAACATCCCCATCGTATTCGTGGGGCGGATGAAGGTGATCGCCCAGTTCAGCTATGCGTCGATCATGACCCAGTTCAGATGGCAGTTGAACTGTTCGCTGAGCTTGGCAATTTTCTTGCAAAGGTTTTGACACCAATCGAGGTGATATCATCAGTGCGTAGTTGAGTGGCATGCAGTAGCGCAGAGGAGCCTCAGTGACCTAGTTCTTTCAAGCACCAAATTTCGGCAATGCTGACGTCAACGCGTCACTAGGAAACCCCCACCACCTGGCCAACTGTGTATGCAAATCGACCATACAACTATTAGTTACCGCTAGCGCAGTTGCATACAGGCATGCAGATCAATCCAAAAGATATGCCTTCCTTTAGATCACGCGCTCGCAAGTGCAAGGGTACGTCTACGATTTAGCGATACCCAATGGTGTGACCGGAAAAGGCTTGACGTGGCGAAGCTTTCCGTCCCAAATGTACTGAGCGCCTTTCAGGATGCTTTGACCTCAAGCCTCATAGGGTCACTGGGCGCATATCCGCAGGGTCATGCGCAGCTCTGCAACTTGGGCTGGGGTTTCAATGGATATCCGCATGATCTCTCCGGCTTCTCAAAGCACGTAAAGCAATTACTGCAAGCCTTGATTTGATCGTCATCAGCAACAGCAGTACGTCAGCCATTAGAACTGATACTTTGCTAGCATACAACCATAACGACCTGCGGAACGAAGAATAAAAGAAGAAAAAAAGGGAACTTACCAAAAAACTTAATGCTTTGGGCAAACATTCAGGGTCAAGACGCCTAGTAGCACTGCTTTTAGACACAGCGGGCGCCGAAGTGTCACTTGGCGTCCTCCGGTAGCTGGCCAGCGATGGACTTAAATTGACCACATTACCACAAGTTACAGGTGGCGTGGTTCCACCTTGGATTGCCGCTCCTACTGGAATACCTGCGACAACTCTGATCATGTCTTCGTACGCTGTCGTTTGTCCATGAACTTTACCGGGAGGCGTACCAAGCATCCCCTCTGAGTGGCAACTGAGAAATCATCTCAGCCCTCGGTCAGGCAAAACTATCAAGACGCA